GAGAGTTCCTATATCAATGCCATTTGTGAAATTGAACTTAATAACCCAATAATTGAGTTTGCTGGAGTAAGCCTGAAATGCTGAAGTAATTTTTGGCATTATATTTTAACTGGTTACTTTACAATTTTGGATGAAAAATATTACTGTAATTCATCTATCTCAAATGCCAAATAATAATGTGGATACACCCCGTTAGCACTGCCTCTTTAAAAAGAAATTCTTATTTACAATTTCTAATATACCCAGGAAGCATACCCAATTATGCAGGTTGTAGTTAACAGATTTGGAGAGCACCAAAGTAGAAAAGTCTATTTTACAATATCAAAGACAATCAGCTTTTGAAGTTAAAAGGGAGCTTATAGTACAGATAATCTTCCATTTAAGACCACAAATGCGGCCAACATTGCTATGGAAGGCTATTAAAGTGAGTCACACCCAATTTTACAACCTTTTTGCAACTGTTGTTAAGCAAATCACCGCAGTTGTTTAATGAATAATGTGATTGTTAAGCAAATCCTGCTTCCTCCATTGACTCTGCTTGTTGGGAGCCAATTGGGAAGGTGATGATATGACTTCAGAACACTGCAACCATCGTAAATACATGCTGGTCGCCAGGCGCCCAAATTTTGATGAAATGACCATGGAGATGCTGCGACAATTGTTAACGCTGTTTTTCAGTGCTATTGTAACATTGAACTGTCGCTAAATGAATGGTTGTAAATTGAGGATTACCTGTACTAATAAATGAGCACTCAGAAAAATTGTGGCAATTGGAATTTTGAGAGCAGCACTCAAATTTTGCTTTCTGAAAATTGTTGAACTAGAATAAATTATGCAAATTATTTTATATATTAATATCACACACATTTTTGAAATGTGGAGCCAGGTGTAGCTACGTGGTAATCGCTAGCTAGCTGAGTGGAGACCCAAAATAAAAAAAATGAATAATTAATTTTTTTAAAAAAACACTTTATAAACACTGGAAAGAAACCATTTTTCCAGAATTCCTTACACTGGCCTCCAATTGATAAAGCAAACACAAAGCAAAAACAAAACGCTGAATTTTCTTGAACCAGTAAGGAAAACAGCAATATTTTGAGCTGCAGAGATGAGGGTTTCATACCTTTTCCCAGAGATCTTTTCCTGGGAAAATCAACTGGTAATTCATCTAGCCCACATGGTTCTACCAAATTTCATTCAAGTTTATTATGAGTTTCACTTGTAAAAGAGAATAGAATGTTTTACATTTTACTTTGCTTCCACATTTCGTACCTGCAGTGGCATCTACTGGCATATTTCTGTTAGTGGAAGCAACTTTATGGAAACAGAAAGGAGAGGAGGAGCAATTTCTCCTCTCCTATATATTTTTATATACCTGTAAAGTTTGCTTCAGAAGATATTCCAACCCCAAGGGAAGGGATGTGTGTCAGCAGAGAAATTCTGTTGTGCTAATGTAAGTGTCTTTGTGAGAGACAACTCAATAACCTGACCATACCAAAATATTTCAAGGCATCCCAAAACTAGAGAATTCATTTTATTGCTGTTATTTATGTGGAACAAAAATATACTTCATTTTCTTTTCAGGTAATATGACAGTTAAGTCCATCCAGCAAAGTTCAAATCCTTCTTCTGGATTTTTCTGAGAGTAGAGTATGATCACCTCAAATGTAGAAGATCAGAGAGTATCCCAATTAAATATCATATATAGAAAGTTGGATGAAAAATATTATCTAATGAGATCCTATTCAAGAGTCAAGATTTGGGATATATAAAGCAGGGCCTCCTTGGTTGTGGGGCCATCCCAGTGATAGAAGTTTGCCTGGCACCTTTATTATACTTAGGGATAGCTCTATTTCTGCAAGCTTTTAAAAACTCTGTTGTCTTAAGTGTAATTTTAAACCATTGTGTATACACTGTAGTTTTGATGCCTGATATTTTCTATTTTAGATAGCTAGAATTTTTAATTTACACCTTCGTTGATATCACATCATCAACTTATTTTATGTAATGTATGTAATTTACAACATATTACTGCATTTCAGTCTTTGGCACACCACCCAGAATGTGCTCTTATTAAGCACACTTATATAAAAAATAATAAAGGTTGTATTCCAAAATATTGTTCCAGTTGATTTAATAGGCTGGCTTTCTTTATGAACTGAGCATTATGAGTCATCTTTCCACAATTAAAATGAAATTCTCCCCAGGCCAAATTAACAATCTTGATTATCCATCAATCTATCTTTTAGACTGTGTGGAATGACAATGGATTTAGTTCTATGATAGATGATGGCAAGCAAAATTTTACTGATTTATTGATGCATAATTTTAAACAATAGCTGCAATAAGGTGGCCAGTGAAAAGAGAACACTTGAGGTAATTGGATAACCAGAACTAGATTTCTGTATGAAAGGACATCAAGCTGCCTTGACTTAGACAATCAAAATCAATTTCTAGGCTCAACATTTGTTACTTCTATCATTAACAATTTAAAAAATATGATAGGAAAAATATACAGAAATTGGCTTTCAGAATGCCTTCTAACATCTTATAAACTCACGCAGTGCCTAAAGAAAAAGTTAGCAACAGTCAATTCCCAATTGCTTCCCCCTCAGGGATATTTGGAGAAATATTTTTATATGGACTCTGGCCTGATCAGTTTGCTTTTGAACTACATTTCTCTTTGTCTCTATGCCAAATCTTGCCCTGTTTTTACAGAGTTTTCCCTGCCACTAGACAGGGGGCTGAAACCCCTTATATAGTTCCTTTCCAATACTGTAATCTGTTGGGTTGTAAAGAATTATAAAGATTTTTTTCAGCCCAAAGACTAGCTAATCCAGAGCAATCCATTTAGAATACTGTACGTTGTTCTGGTTATCCAATTTTGAGAAAGGAAGAAAGGTATATTTTGCATCTTCATGTTCAAGGGCCACCAAAAAGGGACTACTGCTCTCAACTCTTGTTTGTGAGTCTTCAAGATCAAGAAGCTATAGAGGCCACCATGCAAAAACTGACACTAGGCTAGATGGCAATGGGTTTCATCTTCTATTTTGAGGCAGACTGCTGGAAGGAGTCTTCGCCTGACTGTAATAGCCATAAAACTTAAATGGCTCTGCGCTTCACTTGCTTGCGATTGATTAATGAAAGGGTATATAGAAAGGGCCGATACAAAGAGCATGCCACCTATCAGGTCTTTATCAAAACTGAATGGCAGTTTTTGCATGGTATGAAAACCTGGCAAGCAAAGCAATAGTTGTTCATTTCTTAGTATTGTTTTAATGTGGTGTGGAGGAAGCAATCACGAGCATTTTCAGTTTCCGGTAACAATACAGGTAATCTTCATTTAGTGACCGCCTTGTTTACTGACTGTTTGCAGTTACAAATGAAAAAAGTAAGTCTGTAACCAGTCCTTTACAAGTCTGAAAAGCCAAGGGAAGCTGAAGGGAGGCTGTCAGCACAGTTGCAGTTTCACTTGGCAATCACTTCACTTAATGATCAAGTTGTTAGTCCCCACTGTGGTCACTAAATGAGGACCACTTGTTTACATTTGGGCAGCCAGTGAACAACTGTCTGCCTAAAATACAGTAAGTTCAGTCCTCTACAGTAGCAAGCACTGGCAAAGATAAAGAGGTTAGCGGCTACCACTTCTCAGCACAAATACCAAAGCAGATGGAAGGTGAGGCTTCTTACCAGCTCCTTGCGTTTCCACCAGAGATGGAAGAATTGGGGGGGGGGGGGGGTTAAGAAGAAGGAAGAGGGGAAACGAAGAAAAGGAAGGGAAGAAAAGACAAAAAAAAATTATTAGAACGCTTTCACATGCACTACACACCAAACATTCAAATATATTCACCGATCAAGGTAATCATTTCTGCTAAGCTTGCCCCTCGCCCAATTTGTTCCAAACTTTCAGTGCCTTGGAGGGAAGGCCCCATGAAAAGGGAGATGTTTTGAAAAGAAGAAGGTTGACCATGCAAGGTTGCCAAGTGGTTACTGGGTTAAATGGCAGCTGGAGGATGTTAGATTACAGTGCCACATCTTCATACGTGGAAAATGGAAGAGAGGGTCAAGATATGGGAGCAGCAAGTGGTTACGGCAAAGAGCTCAAGGGAGGGCTCCCTGCCACTTCTTCCTTCTGCTGAAGGTTGAAGATTCCCCTGTCACTGGGAGCGGTGCAGGCTGGGTGGAGATCATGAGAAAGAGGCCTTCAAAATTCATCGGCCAATGGGTTTCTGCCGCAGCGTCCAAGGAAGCTTTGCTGGACCAAGCACCCAATGGCTTAAGGCTTCTAGAGCAGCTCGTGAAACTGTGGACAGCAGAAGTGGGAAGCTCCGAGGGGGGAAAATGTTAGCTTCCCTCTTTTGCTTAGAAAGCTACCATTTATAAATGGATAATAGTTACCATGTTTAAGTCTAAGTAACTCTGGAGGTTAAATTTTTAAAAAGCAAAGATTAAAAGCTGTAAGGGTATTCCCAGGGTATACTTAATCAGCCAGGGTCATTTTTTTTATCCATATGAAAGAGGCAACTAAGAGCAGGCAAATAAAACCCCAAAATCACCCCGCTCAACTCTCACTGAAGTGAAGCTGGTTTAAAGGCTACAGGTTCTGGACTCCAAGATGGCTGCAACTGACACCGAATCTGCGTTCTGTATTCTGTCCACCAGGAGGAAACAAGCACAGGTAGTCCTCGACTTGCCACCACAGTTGAGGCCAGCATTTATGTTGCTAAGTGAAACATCCGTTAAGTGAGGTCTTGCCCTATTTTTCTTGCCGCATCTGTTAAGTGAAATCGCTGCCGTTGTTAAATTGATAACATGGTCGTTAAAGTGAATCTGTCTTCCCCACTGACTTGGCTTGTCAGAAAGTCGCAAAGGGAGAGCTCACGACTCTGGGACAACCCGGCCGTCATAGATAGGAGTCAGTTGCCAAGTGTCTGAATTTTGATCACGTGACCGTGGGGGATGTTGAAATGGTCGTAAGGTGTGGGAAAACGGTCCTACGCCACTTTTTTCAGGGCCGCTGTCATTTTGAACGGTCACTAAATGAACTGTTTTAAGTCGAGGACTACCTGTAATCACTGAAAGAAGCAATACTGATGCACAATGTGCAGGGATGTTTAAATCCCCCGTTGCCCTTGAAGGCTGCTTCTCAAACTGGGAAGCACACTGATAACAACAATGACTTATCGGCATTACATCTTGTGGGAAGTTCAAATCCATACAGCCACTGTACAGCCAGGCAAAACAAGCCTCTAGCTGCCTTCTCAATTTTACTTGATGCCTCCCCAAATTACTATCCAAAGTATACTCAAAGTATCCAACACATTTCCGTTTTAATTCAAACCTCAGGGAGGAGAACTAAGTTGCCTACCAGGAAGAAGCCAAGGGCTTCCTCGTATTTTAGGGCTGCAAGCAACTAGAAGGGGAAAAAATACTCCCTCTTCTTCTACCTGTGCAATGCTGAAATGTGAAATTGACACTGTAACTGTGTCCCCCCCACCCCTGTGTGGCTTGTGTGCAGCTCATCTTCTACAAATACAGTTTTATAATGGTTCTCTCCTAGGTAGGAATTTGACTTTACAGCAGGGGTATCAAACTCACAGCATCCCGTTGTCATCACGTGACATATCACAACTTTGTCCCCCTTCGCTAAAATGGGGGTGGGCATGGCCAATGCAGGACGCATCCAGGACGCGGGCCGCGAGTTTGACATCCTGCTTTACAGGTAGTCCTCGATCTACAACAGTTCATTCAGCGATCAAAGTTACAACGGGATTGAAAAAAAGGGACTTACGACCATTTTTCACACTTACAACCATTGTAGCATCCCCATGGACAAAATTAAGACGCTTGGGAACTGACTCATATTTTATGATGGTTGCAATGTCCCGGAGTCACGCGATCGCCTTCTGCGACCTTCTTGCACGCAAACTCAACGGGGAAGCCAGATTTTTCTAACAATCACTGGCTAATTTAACGTCAGTGATCCGTTTAACAACCGTGGCAAGAAAAGTCGTAAAAATGGGACAAAACTCACTTAACAAATGTTTCACTTAACACCAGAAACGTTGGGCTGAATTGTGGTCGTAAGTCAAGAACTAACTGTATTTCATTTCTTGGTGTCCCAGACTTCTCCCCTTCTCCCCTTGCCATCACATTCCCTTCTTCCCAATTGTTCTGAAATAAGAACATGGGTGGGGACATAGCAGTCTGGCTGATCTTTGTGCTCCCTGCCATTGGTAGCTAGAGGGGGCACTATCTGGCAACATGAGAGGACAAAACACCAACAGTGGATTATTCATGCAACAGTGGGCATCAGCCTACAGAAATGCATAAGAACGGCAAGATCATCGGTTGTATGGAAATTCTCCTAGAGTAACTGACTTACATAATAAGCCTTAGAAGTCAATGTCTGTGGAGATTCTCAGTCATTCAGGTCATGGTTGTTCCAAAAGTGCTTTCTTTCATGAGGCAACTGGATTTTCCAGTTTTTCTTTGAAGACTGTTTCACTTCTCATCCAAGAAACTCCTTCAGCTTCTTGGATGAGAAGCGAAACGCCTTCAAAGAAAAACCAGAAAGTCCAGTTGCCTCATGAAAAAAGCATCTCTGAGACACAGAAGTCAATATATTTTTTTCCCAAAACCTACATAAGAGAGTCATTTCTCTTTTGTAGTACTAGTTCTACTAAAAACCTGATTGTCAAGATAGAAAAAAAAATCTGTGGGAGCTATAAAAAGGCAACTGATATTTTACAGATCTAAAAGTCTGCAAAACTGGGTTTATCTACAAGAAAGCAGATCTCATAATTTCAAGGAACACTACAGAATTAATTAGCTAATTACACATCGCCTTAGGATGCGTGCAGCAAAAATTCAGAGATGCTTATTTTCTGCAATGGGGTTTTCTTTTATGGGATTTTCTTTTCGTGGATGTGTGCTTGGATGTGCCAGCAAGACTGTATCAACCTTTTGTCTCCTCTTCTAATTGCAGCATTCTGCAGACATTTGTCTGAGAATAGAGGAAGTCTTACATGGAAGATGCTGTCTACTGGCAAGTAAAGGAGGGGGGTGCTCCCACAGCAAAGAAAGCTCTGCAGATACCCTACAGATACTTGAACTTTTAATCCCAAGACTTTCCCTGCTGAAAATTTTGGAAGCTGAAAACTATATTCAGCGTATTTAGATAAAAGTCCATGTTGTAAAAGGTAGACGGAGGAGTCCAATTTTGCCACTTCAAATTTTTTATATGCATGTATGCCTTGGACCATGAATCCTTTTCCAGTAAGAGCCTGTAATTAGATTAACTTGTTCCTTTGCTTGATCAGGATGGTTAGGTAGATGGGAAATTGATGGTGTCGGCTTTGTTGGGTTGTTTGAACCCTACTGCTGAATAACAGTACTATTAGGTAAGCAAGCCACTCTGATTGGAGCATCATATAAGCCTAATTAATAAACAATGAATACATTAAGGCTCTACTGAAATCAGAGTATCTAATTTTATTGGGGTCATATTTCCTTTATTCAGAAAAATGAATCTCATACGTTAGTTGTCATCAGATGTTTTTCCTTAGATAATTCCTTTGGCAAACAAGGTCAATGCAAAATAGATCACTGTTGTTTCATAGAGTCGGACTCTGAGGGAGAGGAGGAACAACCGACAGGGAGTGGAGGTGTGGCTCTGGAGGTTGTGGAGGAGGCTGGGGAAGAGCAGAGGCCGGCTGGGCAGTCAGAGGAAGAACCAGGCCCATCCCCTATGCATCCTAGGACACGCAGGGAGGAACGGAGAAGGCAACAACTTGGCTTGCGAGACAGGAGGTGGCCATGATCCTCCTCATTGGTTGCAGCTGGGGAGACTAGTATATAAGACAGACGATTACAACACAGCGTTGCCAGAAGCAAAGCGTGTTTTATTTTGGGCTGAAGTTACCTTGGTTTGCATCCTTCCAACAGATTGTGTCTTGTTATCTCCTTGAATTTAGTAATTATTTATCCTGTTCCGTTGTGGAAATGTCATCATTGTAATTTGTTTGGTTTTTTTTTTATTTCACCTCTATCTGCTCATTAAATTCAGACTGTATTGCTCTATTTTGAAGACTATTTTTGAGTACGTTTTATCTCCAACTGAGAATTATTGAACAGTGGGGCCAAGTTGGAGGCATTAAGGGACATTTATTTACATTTTGGATTTTGTTACGTTTGTGTTACACTCCGGGTCATCACACTGTTGTTTCCTAGTGAGCATCTACCATCCTTGGTCAAGCATTCAGCACAGTCACAATCAGAGCCTAAACAAGGTTTCCATTAGGATCTAATGAAAGGCAGCTAAACATGTAGACTAAAAACAGGAACCAAGTATCCAGGTGTATCAGCAGAACATCTGCCATGATAATCATTATGGGCATTAAATATGAGTCCCATCTCAGTTGTGAGCTTTTTAAATATTCCTTAAAAAGTTCAGCTTGGGGCAGATTCTCTTCCCAGTTGATTTCTTTGAAAAAGCTTTAACAAAATCATTGGCAAGGGTGATTAAGAGATCGATAGTCCTCTCTGTGCTTCTGCAAAGTAACTGTAACTGCAAATAACTGTCAAAGATGAATCTTTTGGCAGCTATGTGCCTCTTCGTTTCAACTTGCCATTAGAGTAAGGGAGGGGGGGGAGGTGTTGCTTTCGAATGGGTTAGATGGAAAAACGAAACTTCTACGAGTCTGCTGGAGACCATGAGAGCCTGGAACTTTTTCAACAACATCATAACAGGTGTGGAGTTGACGCAGACAAGTTCCCATAAGTGAAATTATTTACATGGATTACGTGAGAGGTTGGGGATTTGGCTGGGAAAATTATTGTTTAAGTCTATGGACTGGTGTTTGGGAACCTCAGAGTTAGTTTGGCCTCGACATTACCATGCAGTGCATTCAATAAACGGTAAGATTTTTGAAAATGGAATATTGACAATAACTTCCCAGAATTGATAGAAATCAAGCAGTTTTAAGAGAGGATCTTCAGCCCACCCACTTCACTCAATCACTTTATTTCCCACAATTCAATTAGATTTCTAAGAAACAGCATTAAATGATTCAATTTTTGTAAATCAGGTGCTTCGATTTTCCAGTCCTAATTTGATTAAGCAATACAGGAAGCATACAGAAGCTACTTATAGATCAGGCGAAAAATACACCAAGGTATAGCAATCTTCTAATCAGACTTTTGTTCCAGATTTTCCAAAAGTCAGAGCTGGCTGTTACACTTTCCATAGACTTGGCACCTTGAGCCATCAGTTCTCAGGCTAAGGAACTGTCCTGAAAGGGCATACCCTTCTCTCCAGCAAAAAATCCCCCTTCCCCTTCTTAGCTCATTTCAGTTAAATATTGCACTAAGCACCACTAATAAGTCTCCCCAAAATTAGAATAACTTTGCATGGTTGATGCAGAGCTGATTACTGCTATTAAAATGCAGATTTCCATCAGTGCTCTGTTACTTGGATGTCTAATTCAACACATTTATTCTAGAATCTAAAACGTTGCTGCCTCACATGCCCTTGGGGCACTTAATGCTGGTTTTTTACAACTTCCAGAAACTCCACGCTGACTTTCTTCACTTTCAGGAGTATAAAAATAGGGCCTAATATTGCAAATTATTTTACTGGTCTTTCAATTAATTCCTTTCGCTAAGTAAGTTCTCTTGCTTTTTAAAACTTACAATTTTAGAGTGTTTTTGTTCTCCCCTCTTTTGTGACATGACCCCATGAAAAGATAACAGTGCCATAAAAGTACAAACAATATAGATTATACAAAGAGATTTTTAAAAAAGTATTTAATTTTATATAATGCAGATTTAGTACCATGCAAACACAGATTCTAGAAGCATGCAGAAGAAAAAAAAAAGCATTTTTAATGGTCTTACTTGTGCAAACTAGTATCCAGGCAAGGTGGTGTGAAGGGTGATAGGGAAGAGCATTAGGAAAACTCAGATAAGTTCAAGTGGTACAATAATTCAATATAAACACAGTTATAACAATGATTAGGCATTTTCTCAACATCCCAATCGATTCCTGGAAGTGGCTGTAAAAAAAAGGGCCTTATAACTAGCAGAGGACGGTAAAAATGTGATTTTTTAATAAAGCTGGATCAAATCTGGAGGACCCTTATCAATAACACTGGCATAAACATATAAGAATATTAGCACTCATCTTCTTGGTGAATCTTCCCTACAGCAATTTACAACTTTAGGTACGGTGGTACTAACTAATATGATGTATTATGGGAGGAGCTTGGTTTGGACATTCAGAAAATAGAATCCCAATGGGCGCTCTCTATCATTTGAAGTGATAACTTTTTTTGGTTACTTCATAATTCTTCTTTGTCAGGGGTGTCAAACTTGCAACCCATGTGCCAGATGCATCATGCATTGGCCACGCCTACCTCTGGTTTAGCGAAGGGGGAAAAAGTCACAATATGTCACATGACGACACGACGATGCGAATTAGACACCCCTGCCCTATGTTATCCTTCTGCATCTCTAAACCAGGATTAATTGTGTGTGGTCCTGCAAAACATCACGTTTTATTCTATCAAGTCTTGACTATGGGTTAAATGCATCAATAGTACATGAAATATAGAAAGGAAAGGTCCTTTTGTACAAGTTGTTCTCAAACATAACAATTTTAAGTAAGATACATAGACAAACTCCCAGAATGCCCCAGCAAGCCATGCCTGCATGTCTTAACGTTGCCAAGTTTGAGAAACACTGTTGTATACAATAAATTCCACTTTCTGAGGATTCTAGCTCTTTTTCTTCTCTCCATCACTCTTTCTAAGAAGCAAGTTCTTATTCCTTACCCCTGAAAAGAAAGTCTTGGAATAATTTGGAAGAATGCATATTGAGAAGGTATACTTAAGGTACAGCTTCAGGTTAGCTTGGCATTAGGATGCAATGCCTGTAATAAAAATGCATTATACATTCCCAGTAAGATTTTGAAGATTTATATTGTCCAATTATCCTCACATCTGAAATCTACCATAAACTACTGAATATAGCATATTCTAATGTGTTTTCATGTCATGGCTACTATTGAAAAGTATATTCAAAAGCAGAAATATGCTTCTTGCTTCTTCTCACATGGTCATGACTTTCTCTAGAAAAAGGCTCAGCTCAGGAAGTGGAACAAATAAACACTATCATGACACATTTGACCAAATAACCCAACTTTACACTAGGTCCCTTCCAGTTTGAGGGTATAGCAGTTACACAGATCTTTAAAAATAAATTTAGATTCACTATAGCTCATTATTGCAGAGCACATGTAACACTCAAGTGGATTCCTTCCTATATAGCAGATAGGGAAAATTGGATTGCAGGTAACACCCAAAAGAAAATCCTATTAGAGCCCAAAAGACCATATCCTGTTATATCCCAAGAAAGGATTCTAAGTAACTGTTGGCTGGAGGCCAGAGTGGGTTAGTGGCCACTTAAGGGATAATCTGGGAAGTTACCATCTGATCTCTTTATGTCAGACTATATAATCTCTGCAATGCTTGATTTGCAATATTATTTTCACACAAGCAAGAAATCGGTATTGCAACTAACCAACGGGTACAAAATCATCCTAAAGAAAATGGTAAGGAAATTCAAGGAGTTTTTTTTTCTACCACAGTCCCTTTTTTATACACCAACATTAATGTTCATGCCAGCATGCACTGTTAATTGTATTGCCTTAGCGTCCCGCTTGCTAAGCCCAAGGCATGGTAGCAGAGAAGGATGCAAATTGCTAATCACTAATTCAAGCTGTCATCCATTTTAGCTAACAGAGCACCTTGACCCATACCTGAGCAAACAGAGCTGCCAAGATCCCCCCCCCACCCCCCAGTTGTTTAGAAGTAGACATTGTGCGCAGAGGGAAGGGAAAAGAAAGCCTCCTTCTGAAGTTTTAAAATGTGGACAAGCTTTTTCTCCCATTTTGTCCATCAAGGGTAGATGCAAACAATACCGAACTACATGAACTATAGATCTAACACAACGTTAGGCAGCTGTTTATATTTATAACATAATAAAAATAAATAATATAATTTGAAAACCTAGTTATTCATCTCGGGAAATCATTCATTAAAATACCGTTGTAATTTTCAAGTCCATGAATAGAAACCAGCATTAACCTCAGGCTACATGTAAAGTTAGGTACTTGAATTAATTTTTTTTTTTAAATCAACTTTGGATTGGGATTGGTTTTTTGTTTTTTTTTACAATATTTGTAATTCTACTCTATAACAAGCTTCTTAGCGGGACTCACTTTTTCTGTGTGGGAGGTGAAATCTAGAAATGCACCATACTGTTTCTTCCTAGCTTATGTAAGATCTGTAGATCTGATTCTAGCTTACAGTAGATCTTATTAGGACTAGAAGCTTTGCTCCTGAAGGTCCAAAGGCTCACCTCCTCTGCTCAAGCTCACATTTGGAGGGGGGTGGGAGAGATAAACAGCACCAAAGATTCAGTGCCCAAATTGCTAGGCAGCTTCAGAATTTGGTCATCACAAAATGCGGCTGAATAGAAGTTGATAACATTCACACTTCTACCGGTTACTAGAATTCCTACACATTGGACATGGAGCCCAAAGATCAGACTCCTGTGATAATATAATGAAAATACATTTTAAAAAACTTGAATGATGTGGATGTAAATTAAGGTAGTGCAACTTCCTCATTTAACACATATGCACTGCCAGTTAATTAACCTGACTTCACAAGTGGACGTATATTAAAATCCATTTATTTAATTAAAATCATTATGAACTGGGTTTCAATTGTACAGAGAGTGGGGAAGCTGAGAACAGGATTACCATCTGCAAACCTGTTATGTACATTGCTGTTCTCTTCTCAGATATAACGCCTCAAAAGAAACTATAAGTAAAAACTATACAATGGCTATTCATATTCTCCCAGCTATAATCAATACATCAATAAGATGAGCAGGATCTACACATAGAAAGCTTTTAATTGACTTTGGAAAGGACCTTTGCTGTAGAGTATTTATTTGTTATAGATATTATAAGTCTTTGACTATAAATACAGGATAGCTGAATAAGATAGAACTGTATAAAGAATTAGTCATTTTCTTTTTCCATGATGTTTTCAATTGCTTTTGGGGGTTTCAGAACTGCCAAATGCAAAAACATGATCCTTCACTTCTTATTCACTTCTAACTCTTTAAAATGGGAAAAATAAGACTTACCAATGAATGTTATGAAACTAAAATACATCTAAACTATAACAATGCATATTTATTACACAGTACGGTTGTAATTGTATCAATAAAATTTTCAATACAACCACTGCAAAGAGCAAAATCTTTGTGTATGTCACTTCAGCAGTTAAAGCTTCTGAGACAACGCAAAAGTCATTTATTTTTCATTATGGACCAAGGTGAACCTCATTCTCCTTGAAAAAATATGTGATTTGCTTATGAGAAACATCTTTCCATCCACATTCTTCCATAGAAGAAAGGCTGGGGTTCGATATATGCAGTAATATGTATAGCAAAAATGCAACACAACTGCATTTTACTTAGCAGTATTTTCACAAGGTTTCTTCCATTTTGTTATAGCTCCATTAAAAACATCATCAACTGATTATATCAGATGTAAAACTACAATGGACTTCCACCAAGATGGCATGCTTAAGGATGAGGCGGTTTCTTTCTCCTGCCCACACACAGCTGATTTTTGTTGCCAAAGCAGGTTTTCACAGCCTGCTCCCTAGATCTAAAGGGGAGCAGGAGTGAATTCTTCAACAATTCCAACCCTATTGTAAGACAATTAATTCAACTGGTTGCAGCAGACATTTTAAATGGGCTAAGATATGTGAATATCTCAGCCAATACAGGTATCCTCGTCTTACAACTGGTTGCTTAGTGAACAATCAAAATTATGGCAGACCCCCTATAATCTACTTATGATCCAGTCCCTATGGCTGCTGCAATACCTCAGGGAGTATGGGAGGCCTTGGGAAGCCTAGGGCAGGGTCTCTACTAAGCCTCTGAGGCCTTCCCCCGGGGCCTCTGAGGCACCCTTTGCGCCACAACAACCCACAGGTTCATTTAACAACCAGAAGGAACAGAGATTGGGGGGGAGTACTGAAAATGAGGTGATTACATGGGTGCCTCACTTAACAGCTGTCACAACCTCCAACTGTACTGGGCAGCCTCTATTATAGTTGTGAGTCAAGGGCTACCTGTATTTAAATAATGCTTTGTATGGTAGTTTAAGCTCTATAAAACAGTGAGCAGTGAGAAAGGCTTGGCTATGGAGGGGTGGTTCATCTGAAAATGAGCTATAAAGCAATCATTTATTGTACAATTACAGCTTCTGTATTAATATGTCTAGCTTTCATTACAGCAGAAATAGCTTTGGCTCTTTGTCAAAGGAGTAAGAGGAACAAAATATTCAAAGATTTGTACGGAAACTGGGAAAAAAGGAATAACAGGTACAGTAGTCCTCAACTTACAACCATTCAGTGATCAAAGGTACAACGGCATGGAAAAAAGTGACTTATGACCATTCCTCACACCTATGACCACTGCAACATACTGACAATTCACATGATCAAAATTCAGGCTCTTGGCAACTGGCATGATTGCAGCATCCAAAGGCCATGTGGTTGTCATTTGTAACAACATCCCAGCAATATCAGAGCAGCAAAGTCAATAGGGAAAGTTGGATTCACTTAAGAACTGCATGATTCACTTCAATGCAGCGATTCCCTTTAACAATTGTGACCAAAAAAAGTCATAAAATAGGTTTCAACTCATTTAACAATTGTTTCACTTAGCAATGGAAATTCTGGTCCCAATTGTAATTGTAAGTCAAGGACTTCCTGTACTATGTAAACATTTAAATACAGGTCTTTCTACCGTTCCCTCAG